CAGCATCTCGTCGTGTTCACCTGGCGCCCAGAACCAGGGGAAGGCTGCCCAGAGAAGCCCTTCGTTCACGGGCCACCGAGCTGAACTTGGGGTGCCGCAGACCAGGGCTTGGTTGGGGGGTCTCTCACTCCCCCTCTGCCCCACCCCTCCCACAGGGGCACCCAACTCTGGGCCTCGTATAAAACAGCCTGATTCTCTGATCTCCGGATGCCTTCCGACGGGAAGTGCACTGGAAAAGCCCTCTTCCCGTGAAGTCAACCCAAATTCGGTTTTGATTAAAGTAGTTGCTGACCTGTTGTTCTGGCTCCTTCCATCAGGAGCGTGGTTGGTGCTGCCCATTGAGGTGACACCGTGGGGCCTCCGGTTAAAAGTGAAAAGAGGGGCGCCTGGGTGGCTCAGTCGGTTGGGCGGCCGACTTCAGCTCAGGTCATGATCTCGCGGTCCGTGAGTTCGAGCCCCGCGTCGGGCTCTGTGCTGACCGCTCAGAGCCTGGAGCCGGTTTCAGATTCTGTGTCTTCTTCTGACCCTTCCCCGTTCATGCTCTGTTTCTCTCTGTCTCAAAAATAAACTTAAAAAAAAAAAAAAAGTGAAAAGAGCGTGGAGCCCAGGCACAGCCTCCCGGGGTCTTCGTGGGACCGTCCAAGGTTGGGGTGGCCGTGGCTGCATTATTGTTGGCCACGGAGGACAAATGTAGGTAGGACGTAAGTGCTGAGACCTCTTCCCGCTAGACCAGAATGTCCTGGCCTCAGGGACCGAGCCCACTGGCCCCTCCGTGATTTGTCAGGTTCTTACCTCTTTTGTGTTTGTTTTAACCCCCAGCTTATAAAGGGAGAAAAGTGGGGCCCCTAATGAGTCCAGTCCAGGCAGGGTTGACCGCAGGGTCGTCCGTCGCAGAAGCCGAGCAACACAGTAGATCTGAGAGCGGAAAGAAAGCCTTCCTTCCCCCCCGGGGTGATCTGACTTGAGTCTCGTGCCAGAAGGTGAATTGGGAAATTGTGGGTTGAGCACAAATGCCTTTCCTTTTGCTTCTTCTGTATCTTTCAGTCAACCTGCTGCCTGAAACCGGTCTGGAGAGTGCCCCGTGAACTGGGGGAGGGGCTTTGTTGCTGCTGGGGTGGGAGTGCAAAGCCGGGCAAGGTCAGTGGTTGGCTGGTTGCGGTGGCCCACACACGTGGTTCTGCTGTGATGCTGTGAATGTGAGTACTAGCTGGCAAGTTCTGTGACTTGGAAAGTCAGCTCCAGGAGCAGACGGCTCTGCTGACTACCAGAGATTCCCTTTAACTAAGGCTTATCAGCTCTAGTAACACTTGCGAAATAATACTCTCATGGAGGATGTTTAATTTATAGATAGCTAGAAATGGCCCAGGCGGGGGGAAGTCGTGGGAAGGTGGCCAAAAGATCCCATCCCCCCGGACCCGGCGCCCCCCCCCGCCCGCGGGGGGGCGGGGGGGGCACGACGATGGAATCGGGGTGTACGTAGGGCCGCTCCCCATTCCTAGATCCCTCTGCACTTCTTCCCTATAAGGAGCCCCTGCAGCGTTGAGGATTTGCCTGCCTTCGATTTGGTTTTGATTGTGTATTGATAACACCTACAGACTTTTTTTTTTTTTAAATAAGCCAAAATGGTGATCTATTCTAAGGCACAGAAAAATTTAAGAAATGATTGTCTAGATGGGTCAGTTTAAAAAGCAACAGAAAAAGAAAGCATAGTGCCACCTGAACATACATAGCATGACCGTTTCTATTTTTAAAAGACAGGTCTGGCTGCATTAAAAGGGGATTTAGATTTTGGAGTGGCAAAATCTGTCTGAGCCTCTGATTCTTTGCATCGGGCGAGCCCATGTATCCAGGGCAGTAGGGAGAGGTGATTCTCCCGGGCTGTTTCAGCCTAGACAGTCAGGCCTGGTGCGGGATCATTGTGCTTGGTGTGGAAAATAAATGCTTTCCTGTGAGGCGAAAGCAGTGTGAGTCAGTGGGCGTCCCGGGCCGTGGCTGAAAGAGGTCCCCTCATTTAGCACCATCCCAGAGATTCCTGGTCTTGTAAGGTGGATCAAATGGAACCTTCTACTCTGCGGACTGAGTCCTCCCACAGCAACGTGCAAACCCTGGGCTGGATTCAGGATAACCCTGCCGGCATCGTGCAAGACCCCAGCAGTTCCCTAGTGGAGTGCTCTAGGAACGGGGTTTTACTTTTTACGTTTGGCTCTACGAATACCTCGGATGACAAGCAGGATCTGTGTCTTGACGATGGGCTAATTTCATAGGAAAACCTATCTCCAAACTTGAAAGTTGCCTTGGTCTTAAAAAGCGAGAATAGGTCCCAGGGGAAGTTAGGAGCCCTGGGTTCTGATTCCCCATGAGTCCCCCTCCCCCCGCGAGCGCAGAGGCCCCTGCCTCTCTGCAGGTGAGGTTTGAGTCTCCACTTAAAGCTGGCCTGACCTTTCTGTCCACACAGCTACAGCCTTGAAAGGGTAGACCCCACCCAGTGTTATTAGCGCTCACCCCAGAGACAGACCGGCAGGGCTCTGCTCTGTCTCTCATCCTTGTGCGTCCCCCACACCGGCTTTGTGTGAAACCACGTGGCCTTGAAAACACCATTTTTTCCCACAACTTTGTGAGTTCTTTGAGGACAGAGGCCCTGCCTTCTCACTGTGTAGCGTTGCGGTCAGTGTCCAACATGCATTTGATGAATAAATGAGCAAACAGAAAAGTGAATGAGTACATGGAAGCTTGCTAGATGTTGGTATTATTTACATCTGATTAGCATCAAGCTCAGCCTTACACATTTCTCTCTCTCTGCTGTTAACAAAGCAAATGGCGATGCTCGCAAGGACCAAAAAAAAATGCCACGGTGGCAAGGGGGATGGGCATAGGTAGTGCGACCCCCCAAAAAGACGCCGGGTTCCGCGCTCAGCAGTGAGCTATGTAGCCTCGGGGAAAGCACCCACCCTCTCTGAGCCACCCCTCTGCATCCACCTAAGCTGATGGGCTCTAGAAACCTCATTCTGAGAGCTGGTCAGGGTCTGTGTGCCGCTCTGGAAGTTGCTGGTTCCTGGGTCTTATCAGAGAGGGCTTTTCATTGAAACTCTGAAGGTAAGCCAGATCTGTTCTGGGGTTCCCTAACTTTGCACTCGAGGAATGTTAGAGGCACTGCCCTTGAACCCTTGAGCGCCAAGAGTAGGTGGACAGAGCTTGTGACGATTCTGTGATTGTGGCACTCGTGTCCAGGTACAGCTACCGGGGGTGGTCAGAATTGTTTTAAACTTTTGTTTTAATGGATTGTATCTTTCAGAGCAGTTTTTGGTTAACAGCAGTTTTGAACAGAAGGTGCAGAGAGTTCCCGTGTACCCCCTGCCCCGACCCATGCATAGCCTCCCCGCACTATCCACATTCCCTCCAGAATGGTACGTTTGGTATAATCGATGAACTGATGTTGGCACCTTATTATCACTCAGAGCCTATAGTTTACCTTGGGATTCACTCTTGGGGCCGTGTATTCTTTGTGTTTGGACAAATGTGTAATGACACATGCCTACCCTTATGTGGTATCATATATTTTCCCCACTCTAAAAATCCTCTGTTCTAAAGTATCTTCTTAAAAGGAAATAGAATCAACCAGCAGTCTCTCTGATCTGTGTCACTAAATCCGCCTGTTTAATTTCACTCTGAGTAAAATCCAGATTTCCTCAGCTATAACTTCTTTCCTAAGAGGCCTCGTCGTGCGTCTTTGTGTCCTTTTCAGTGCTCTGGGCACGGTGTTTGGTGATAGGCAAGGAGGGGAGGCCAGGACCAGCAGCCACAGAATCCCAGAATGGTGGTGGCCTGCCAAGGAGCTCTCTCCCTCAGAAAGTGCGCCTCCTGTGTCTTTTGCATTTCCAGGCCTCGAGAAGCCTGCGTAAGCATCCAGTTTGATTAGCGGACCCTTCGTGACATTTTCCTTCTGACACTTGGAAGAAGCCAATGGAAAGCCCAACATTTGAGACCTTGGGAAGAACTAACAGGTTGATCTGCATAAGAATATTGTTCTGCATCAGGTCATATCAAGGACCAGGATCTATGTAGCCAGGAGGGAGCAGGCAGGGAAATGTGATGGAAGAGAAGCCCAGCAGGCAGCGTTTAGCACTCCCACACCCTGCCTGGCACACAGCACCTTCGCTGATTCAGTCCTCACAAGACCGCAGAGAGTTTAGTTCCGATTTTCTTCCTCCCCACCTTACAGGTGAAATAGGAGACGGTGCGGTGGCGGACAGGCTTGGACACGCACATTTGCAACACTGTGTTCTCCTGCCTCTGAAACCGGCAGGGGCATTTCCCACACATTGGGGAACTTACTCCTAAAACAGTATTTCAGGAGTGAAACTGCATGGTCCTTCACTTGGAGGGCAGTGGCGTGAACTGCACCATCACAGGAAGCAAGAAGGTCCCTCCCTTGCTCCCTCCTTCCAGGCCATGCACTTGCTCCTTCCGAGTACAAGTATGCAAGTACACTTGGGAGGGGTAACAAGCACCTGAGATCTCTCGCTTTTTAAATAAGTCGTTGTTTGAGTTGCATCCTCCACAGAGCTCTAAGGGGAGGACAGATGCTTCAAATAAA